GGAAAAAGCTCCAGCTTGTTGGGCTAACGGCAATGCTTCTCGCTTGCAAATATGAAGAAGTGTCTGTTCCTGTTGTGGAAGATCTCATATTAATTTCGGACAAGGCTTACACAAGGAAGGAAGTATTAGACATGGTAACATATTTATAAGCAAAACAACTTAAACAGAAATTGATCCTCCCATATCCCACAGTTTTCTATTCTATCACGATAATTCATTAGTTCTAACTTGTATTTTTGTGGCAACAGGAGAAGTTAATGTTAAATGTCTTACAGTTCAACATGTCAGTGCCCACGCCGTATGTGTTTATGAGGCGGTTTATTAAAGCTGCACAATGTGATCGGAAGGTTAGTTGGATTTTTTTAGTTATCATAAGTGTCGATTTAGCACTTCTCATAAATCTAAAAATGAAGTCTATGGATCGTATAACTAAATTTCCACATTTTGTGGTTGATATTGATATTAAAGGTATTGAAATGTCTCTAGTGTAGAAGATAACTCTGAAAATGTCAAGAAATATCGAAAAACAGTGAACCATTTTGAGGACTATAGGGAAATATCGAACTGTATATCTGAGATGTTAATAATGTCATATTATGTATTCCGAATAGAACTTATAAAATGCAATTCTTTTCTTCTAGAATTTTCCTATATTGGTTTTTCATAAATACAAATTGTCGTTATTTTCATACATATCAATATTTTTATCCATGAAGTAACATAGTTTCAATTAAATACCTACTTTCTGATAGCTTTAAAGTTTTCTTTTTTTTTGAAATATAAAGTATGTGTTTGGAGAAAAGGAAAATAAATAAAAGCAGTTCCATGAATCATTGCAACTTCTTTCAATGAAATGCTGATTGGGGTTTTATGGCTGGCTTTTCTGATAATGAAACAGTTGGAACTCATGTCTTTCTTCATGATTGAACTATGCCTTGTTGAGTACGAGATGCTGAGGTTCTCGCCCTCTCTGTTAGCGGCCGGGGCGATCTTTACAGCTCAAAGCAGTCTGAGTGGCTGCAAACAGTGGGACAGAACTTGTGAGAAGTATACTGGATATACTCATGACCAACTGTTGTAAGTGGCTGACTAGATATACCTTGTACTCCGTATGTTGTAACAATTTTTAAATTTTGATAATGAATCAAAATAACTTATAGCGTTTGTGATTTTGGGTGAACAGGGAGTGCTCAAAGCTGATGATTTCTTTTCATCACAAGGCAGGAACTGGGAAGCTAACTGCAGCATTCAGAAAGTACAGTGCATCCCAATATGGCCGTGTTGCTAAGGATGAGATTTTCAATTTTCTTCAAAATGCATCTATGTTTTATTAGGTGTGCAGGATTGAACACCTAATGACTGGTGGGGTTGGGACCGGAGGAAGGGGTGGGGTGAGCTGCAACAAAAGTTGCCCCTAGGTGGATGCTATATTTTGTTAATGTCAGAATGTCTTTACATTTCATCTAGACAATATGAATTTATTAATATGAAGCTATTAGGTGTTGAAGGTTTTGTTTGGATTTGCCTAATATTGGATCACTGAATATTGTTGTGTCATCTATAGTTTAGTTTTGTTCAAGTGCAAAAAGCTTATTATTTGACCATCAAGCCTTGAAATATAATTACATAAGCTATTGTACTCCTTTTCTACAACCTATATTTTATATTTAAGGCTTGGTAAATAGTCTTCAATGGTATTACAAGTCCACACTTTGAATAGTGTATGTTTTGAACAATCAATTGTACATGAATTGCAATATAGCAGATACTTTTCAATCCCTCAATTTACTGTAAGTGTGCACTCTCCAAGGATATGAAAGGGTCACTACTCACTAGTGTGGTGGCACATAGGTAAGTGGCTTCTAAACTTGCAAATTTTAAAAAACCCTATATTTGGTAAGCGACATTTTCCGTCATTTTGGGGAAAGTAGGTAACTTTAAGCATTTTCCTATTTTTCCATGTTTTTAACTAAATGGGTAGAATAACCGAGAAGGCCAATTGAGCATCTAAGAACAACTAATTGCACACGATTATTCGTTTATGATTCTTTTATTTTAAATCTAGTTTTTTTATTAATATCTAAATGTATTTTATCATAACTTAAAGTCTAACTTAAAATCTAGTTTCACTGTTTCAGTATTTTTATACGAAGTATACTTAAAAAAAATACTTTTCCATGAAGTGGCTAACAATGAACTTACGTCTATATGATAGTATAATGTTTTGCATTCCATGCATGATGAAGTATCATGTTTCAAAATGAGGAATAATAATGCTTAAAACCCGATGTATATTACTAAGATAAAACGTATATTTTGATAGTAATTATGAGGATATACTGCATCAATTTCTGTTTAGGGTTCGGTACCGGACCCTAAACAGAAATTGATTCTCCCGTATAAAAAAAAAGGAAAAAAAATAAATAAAAAAAAGCAAAAAAAAAAAAGAAAAGAAAAATTATGAGGATATTCTGCATTTTAGCAACTATTGATTTTTTTCATTTAACAAAAACAATACATTTTCCAAAAAAAAAAAAACAGTATACGTTTTCTCACTAATATCATTAAAATACAATTGATATAGCAAACAAAACCATGTAAAACAGTTAACTTTTACTAAGCTTTTAGAATAATCTTTTTCGATTACTGACTTTCTAGCAACCGGAAGGAATAAATTCCACTTTTGATCCTACGAGTTTTAGGTCAATTCCACATTTAGTCTACATCTTTCACTTTGTCCACTTTTGGTACATGACTATTGTGTTTTCGCCCATATATGAACTTCCGGCATTGTTTCCGATGGTTAAAATCGCCGAAAAAGGACCACAAACGGTTAAAAAACATTAATCAAGTACCAAAATGGATAAAATGAAAGACGTGAACTAAATGTGGAATTGACACAAAACTCATTGGACCAAAAGTGAAATTAATTCCAACCGGAAGCTATCAATAACTATAAAAGTTAAAAAAAACATGCACGTTTCAACAAGTTATGCAAAAAATACACATTTTAAGTCGATACAACAATAATCATTTTTCATTTAAATTGCACCTGTCCTTGTAATTTTTTGAATGGGCATAGGCGCATAGCAAAATTCACATCCATGTAATTTATTTGAATAAATTTAAAATTTAAACATACAAGTAGATATCCTAGCCAAAACTCCCTTTAGGTGATTTTATTGGTGACTTCATGAAAAGAATGATGATGTTTATCAAGACTTATCTTCTTTAAGCTAAGAGAACCCTTTATTAGAATGAACTCCATTGATGATGAATATGCAAAACACTATTCCTTAATTAAGTAGGAGAACAATCTATAGTGTAACTTCTAGTTAACATTTGTTAACTTTATATTAATAAATGGTTTGTCTATTGATAATGATTAATTTTATATTCAGAAATGTTTGGTGTGCACATTAATGTATAAGATTCCAATAGGCAAAAAATATCTTGACATATACGACTTATATCTAGCACAAGTCCCACAACTAACCTTGTTAAAGACATTGATTTTCATGCACACAAAATAGGTTGCCGTGCAAAGTATATTGAGGCACAAATCAATGTTGTTTTCTTTGTGAGTAATTTAAAAGTGTTTCACATAAATTTCTTCACCCAAAACCTTGACCCAATGCGTACAAGAAGTCTAAACAAATGTGTACAAATGCTATTTTCCGCTTTATAATAATGTCATGATAATAATCTTTCATTTATGATCAAATGATAATGTTTTATCTCACCATTTGCTACATAAAGCTCAAGTTACGAGTACACCAATTTGATTCCAATTCCAGACTAATCGATTTGAGAGTCAGGACTTCAGGTCCAAGTTTAATTGTCCGCTCAAAGAAAATCACAACGATCAGATTGAGTGAAGAACCAAGCTGGAAATCAAGACACGGAAGAGTACCTCCATTACCCGCTTCCGGTTAAAGTTCTTCCTTTTGAGACCATAATCGAGCATAGGGATGGACTGGGAGTCTGGGACGGGTCGGCTCGACCCGGACCCGGTACTGTTTAGGCTCGAACTAGCCCGTTACTATATAGGCCCGGTCCCATCCCGGGGCACGGTCCAGTGACTAGAAGGGCAGGCTTTGGGCTCGATTTTTGGGCCCGGTCCGGGGCCGATTGTACTATTTTTTTTAATTGAATGCCCAGTCCCGTCCAGAAGCCCCACCCGACCCGACATTGTTTGGGTCCAGCCAGAACCGGTACCTAGCCTTAAATCCTTAAGCCCGAAGCCCGCCCAGTCCCATCCCGAAGCCCATCCCGATCCATCCCTAATCGAGCATGCAATGTGTATAGCTCCAAGAACCCCCCCCCCCCCCCACCCTGCCCCCCGCATATACGTATCATATTGGCGATGGCAATTACTCAACTTCAATTAGGCCTGGACTCGGGCCGGGCGGCCCGACCCGGAACCGGCCCGGCCCGGCCACTGTAGCAACCGGCCCGGCCCGGTGGCCCGGTCCACCGGCGGTTCAGGTCGAACCGGCCCGGTGGTTCCCGGTTCCGGGCCCGGGCCTCCCATATGGTGAACCGGCCCGGCCGGTTCGGGCCCGGTCCGGGCCGGAAATAATTTTTTTTTTATTTTTTTTTTGAAAATTTTTTATGTTTTGGGTTAGATTAGGTATTTTGGTCCATTTGAGGTGGTTTGGGGTGGTTTGGGGTTGAGAAAGAGGGGTAGGGGATTAAATAAAGAAGCCAAAAAAAAAGAAAAAAAAATAGGACGGGTGGCCCGGCCCGGAACCGGCCCGGTCTGGCCCGGAACCGGCCCGGTCTGGCCCGGAACCGGCCCGGAACCGGCCACCCCCGGTTCGGGCTCGGGCCTCAATATTCTGAACCGAGGCCCGGCCGGGCCCAGGCCTGAGGCCCGAACCGGCCCGGTTCAGTCCAGCCCTAACTTCAATACTTCATACAGAATTAGGGATCTCAAATCACAACAGGAGAACTCTCTTCTATATCTACGATCTCAAATCACCAACCATAATCACTCATTCACAGCTTGCTGATTTAAAATACAAAAAATATAAACAAAATGACTAGTTTTTTAAGGTGGGAGAAACATTTGTTATTGTTACAATAATGATCGCAATTTACAGCATATATGCACACAAATACAAGTTAGCAACTCAAAAGGTTAAAAATGGGAAAGCTCTTAATCAGATATGAACAGTATAGATAAATAGGTGTTAAATATGATTGTTTTGGAAATAGATTCGAAATATTTGTTCATCCGCACAATATCTTTGAATGACTTTGTAAACTTCCACTACAAGACTGGGGAAGCGGGATGAGAAGTAGGAGTCAAAACCTTCAGGAACCTGTCCCAAAAGTCCCTGAATCTCCATTGAGAGCTCTCGGTAATGGTTTAGCTTGTTTCTAATCACCCGCAATAGATCTCTAACACTGTCAAATTTGTAACGCCTATAGCGACCAATGTCATTGATGAAGGCACTGTCCATTTTTGCATCCCACGAACCGCCCAAAGCCACTGTCTTGATACTTTCTACTGCTGTCAGGATCTCGGATTCACTGTCCCTATCCTCAAGTTCTAGCCTATCACTAGCATCTCGAAGAAAAGACAGCCTTGTTTCAGGTTTCCAAAAGAAAGGGTGATTCAGTACCTCCACAGCCGTTGGCCTATGGAAAGAAACAGATTGATTATCTTCAACAATGAGTAGATTCATTGAATACACAAAGGGGTCTATCCGGTTTGGTTTACGTTCTGGGCTGGCCGGTTCTGGGTCATGGGAAAAGAGGGTCCCGAATCCAGAACCTGGTATAGCCCATCCAGTTGCATGTCATTTACGGTACGGTTCTGTATCCATGTCATGAGGAAGGAGGGACTGGAGCAAAACATACTTTAACCTATTCGGTTCTCAGGTCAGTTGTTAGCCTGTTTTTAAAGAGTGGGACTAAAACTGGCCCACACCTATTTTGGAGGAACCAGAACCATACTGGGCTTGGACCGCTGCCCAATATCAGTTCTGGTCTGGAACTGGAAAGTCGGTCCAGTCTCCAAGAAAAAATGGCTGATCCTGGTCTGGAATGGGACCATGTTGACCCTGATACACACGCCAGGGCATGGTTGAAATTTGAAGAGTGATTAAACTTAAATGTACAATTCTCAAAAGAAAGAGAAAATCAATCTAATGAAATGAATACCTGGAGTCTGGATTTGGATGTAGGAGTTGAGATATCAGATCAATTGCTTCAGGCATATTCTCTATCAAGAAGAGGTCTTTCCGATCATTTACTATATTTGTATCACGTTCAAGACTCTGACCATATGGATGTTTGCCACCAGTTATGCAGAAGAACATGACACAGCCTAAACTAAATAAGTCTACAGCACGCGTTTGACGTTCATGACGAAGTTGTTCAGGTGCTTGCCACCCTGAACTTCCATTACCTAGAAAATGATTGTGCATGAAATCAACTTGCAAAAGAAGTAGCATGTCCAAACTAACACTAGTCATTACATTTTAGTTGCCCAAAAGGGGGAAAAGATGCGTGCAAGACTTTAAACTAACTTATCAGCTAGCCAAACTAAATCTACCAGACAAAGAGGTAAAATCATGGAAATCAAAACAAACAGATGTATATAGTAAACAAATGCTGCATATGTCTCACTGTATGTGCCCTGCTTTACCTTTCAGTCCGTCCCAAAATAGGGTTGAGTTTCCTAATTCGAAGTTTCGAACACCACTAGGCTTTTACTTTTTATAGTTCAACTTATCCCTCTCTCTCTTACTTCTTTTCAAATGACTTTGACACAAATGGTCCCACTTGAGAGTCAAATTTGGATCTTGAACTACACTTCACTTATCCTCATTAAAGTTACGCTAAAAGTAAAGCAGCTTTATACTTCAGGACCAAGGGAAAAGAAAACTATGAATACCTTCATCCTAGAAGATATGAAATGGAATTGAACAAAGAAAAATCATTCTGAGTGTCATATTTAGGAAACCATTCTACATTTTAGTCATATCTAGGTATATTACTCATTAGAAACTCATAAAGCAGAGTCATGTAGTATAAGTTAAGAATAACAAAGATGAAAGCTTTGGTCAAATTGTTTGACAAAAAGGCTAAAATAGCTAAAGCTTTTTTTTTAAGCATCAATGATGAGATGCTTTCATTCACTAGCAATGAGCTTGGTAGAACATTACTTACGATGCAAAGATGTCCTTTTTTGAGCCGTCGCTACTTTAACTGACTCTCCTATACCAGATTATTTCTGGTACAACCGTTATTGGGCTGGAATTGCCAAACCAAGGGTAAGGTTAGGTACCAATGACAACCACTTGGGATGACTGGGGCAAGGAGTCTGCTAGACGGAAATCTCGACTGCACTGAAAATGTTATAGTTAGAAGATTTCCACAGACCAATGTCCTCTATGCAGGGTTTCCCCTGGCCCCAAGCTAGACCCATGGTGTGAAGAACATGTCCATCTTGAGTATGAGAGGAACTTTAGGTAAGGGGAAGTGAGCGTGTTCATCTATCCACATCAGTGTGAAGCATAAATGATTGAAAGTTATAAGGATTCCATGTACAAGTATTCATGTTATCTTGATTTGTGTATGTCTTGGGAAGACAAGCACATGTATCTCCACCTTCTCTCCCTAACTATTGCCATTGTTAAATATTCTGTAGCTGTACTCATCAACATATATCCCTTGCTGACTCCCCACTTTTGTTCCCAAAATTCACAAAAAAATCAGCCGCCACCACACCTAGACTCTGCTTTCTACTCCAGGTCAGCCTCCATCCTTTTCTTATATTTCCTTCAGCCTTGTGTGTTTTTACAATTTCCTCCACCGCACTAAAGAATGTTTAATCTTGACTCATCATTTGCCACTGTTTATGAATCTCCTGATCCTTTAGATCCTGGAGCAAGAGCTAGTGATGTTTGTCTCACTCTCTTCCTCCCACCAACTCCTGGAATGATAGTTCATCATCAGGAGAGTTATCACTTATCAGCACGTGTGCTAGCCACCTATCTCTTCATATCCCCATGATCCCATCTTACAGTCCTGCATACCAAGACATTTCAAACCAGACTGTGGTCACTCACCAAGTGACTAAATGCAGGGCCTCAAGTCTGAAATATCCTTTCTGCACTGACCATGGGGGTTGGGTGTCAGATGCTGTCTTTCCCATCTCTTCTGACAGGCGGAGAGATAAGAAATTGCCTCCACCGCAGCCTCAACTATCAGCGGAGGGGCCTGAGTAACCACCGGCAGAGGATGATTCTACACAAAGATTGGGGGGGCTAATAGAGGCTTTCCACCAATGCTCATAGGATCTCAATGACATGATCACATTGATCAACACATCATGGAGTTGTGGACATCAGGATTCTCCCTGATGGCTGCAGCAAGACGGCTGAGTTGTCTGGACAAGTCATGTTTTTCGGAGCTCACAGCGCGAACATGTTTTCTTAGCGGAACCTGGTACTTTTCGCCTTGTCTGGTTTTCCATCATGATTGCGATTGTGAGGTATTATCTTCTTGTTGTTATTCTTGGACTCAACCAAAGCATCAATTGTAGTTGTCCAGAGCTCTAAGTAAAGATCCATGAGTCAAGAGCAATAGAGAAGAAAGCGCCAGTCAAAATGATTGACAGTGGAATGTTTTCCTATCTCTATCCCTGAGCAAGATGAGCACTATTAATAATAGGTGTCCTTGTGGGAACTATGGCTACTTTAACTAACTACTACAATTCTACAAATCATGTTTGTTAATGGCTAACGCTGTCTGGGCATGTGGGGGGCTTGACATTGGACTGAGGTTGGCCCCACTGTCCGTAGATCATGTGCTAACTGCTAAGGCCAACCTCTTAAGGTAACTGGGTTGTGGGGTGTGTCAGGATGACCTCTAACCTGCACCAGGCTGTTATAGCCTTATAGGTCAGCCTTCCATGGACCGATGGCTCTCTATGAGTGGCTTAATGCTCCAGGACCACCCTAAGCACTGCACATGTAGGCTGTACCCATTTTTATTGATGACATAAAAAAATTGAAACCCAAAAGATAGTCAGAAAAATAGGACTATTAAAAAAAGCTCAGGAAACAGTCTCTTTGTGCTTTCGTACAGTCTCTTTGTGCTTTCGTACAAGAGTAAGACTGCGTACATCCGAGTATCCGACCCCCCTTACCCCACCGTAGGTGGGAGCCTTTGCGGCACTGGGGTGATGATGATGAAAGTACGACCAAATCTGATTGGCATCACTATGCAAATTTGTCAAGTAAAAATTTAAAGTCTATTGACGTGTAGTGAAGTGTGAGTTCTTGAAGCATAACATATTTTGAATCGACGTATTTATGATTATGTTTACTAATAATTAAAAAGGGTTTTTTACATGTATATTACCAATACTATGTAAGTTTACAAAAATGTGACCATCATATTCACCAACTCACAAATACATACGGTAGTTTTTTAGAAATGTGAGCAGTTAGTAAACTCATTTGAATAGGTAGTCATATTTTCGTTATTGAGCTTTAGAATGGTAATATTTATGTAATTTTTTCTTTCATCTCAATATTTGAACATTTCGGATGTTTTTCAGCCCCAAAATAGACCAGACTAAAACAAACCAGACCAGACTTCCAGAGTTATAAAATACACAAAAACCAGACATTTATCAGACCATATCAGACCAAACATTTACCAAAACATACTAGACTTAAACAGGTCAGATCAGACCAGACCAGCAAAGCAAATTACAGTCCAAGTAAAAACATTCTTAAAGAGTTACTAGTCGATGTTAGCAACTTAGTATTAAAGTTTGATGTTATATTGTTGTTTAACCTAGATCTACTTATACATTAGCAGTTTATTATTAAAGTTTGAACAATAAAGCACAGTTCTTAATAAAATTACAACTAATAAATACTACCTCCGTTCTTTTTTAGTTGCAAAATTTCCATTTTCACGTTTGCCAACACAACTTTGACCATTAGTATATATTTAATTCACTATTAGTAAACAATTAAAAAAATCAGATTAAAAAAATTACAATGAGATGAACTTAACTATATTTTTCAAAAAATAAATTTTTCATACATTAATAAATAAAATGTAGTCAAGTAGAGCATATGAATAGTATGAAATTCAACCTGTTCCATTATACTATTTTACAGATCATAAAAATTTAGGGTTAGAGCCTTCAATATAAACATGTGATTCAACATGATTAGGGTTAGAGCCTTCAATAAAAACCAGAAAAGCCCATTGGCTCAAGAATCCTAACTCAAAGCCGAGCAGGCCAGCTAGGTTCACGTTATTACATGTACACCATCACATGGCACTAAACCCCATCTGGTGCAGAAATCATCATCAAACCCTTAATCCCAACTACTTGGGTCAGTGGCATGAAAGTAATAGTACGAGTTTGTATATACTATATAGAGCTAATATTTACTCTAGAAATCCATGCAAACAACCTAGGGGAAAAATTTTCCGCCAAATGTCCTTGTGGCGACCATATTGACAATAAAGTACGAAGTAAAATGAAATGCATTAAAAAAACCTTATCCCCATGAATCCATGACCCCATAGGTTACTTCCGCTGATAATATCATGAGATGTGAAGAATTGAGATGCTCGGTGCGAGAAGAAAATAAGAAGTAGCTTACCAGTGGCATGCTTAGTTAAGGAAGAAAAGTCTCCAACAAGGCGCTTACTGATACCCATATCTGAAATCTTTGCACGAATTATTCTTTTTTTTACTACTAGAACATTTTGAGGCTTTAGGTCTCTATGAATAATACCGAGTTCATGCAAATGGACAAGGCCGTTAACAATATCACTGCAGTTACAATTAGGAACATATGTTAAATCACATTTGCAAAAAATACTTCAGCTCTAGGAATAACCTGTTGGAATTGATGTTTTTGATGATGTAAAAGAAGCACAACTTGCAAACAGATTACCAGAAGTGGGCTAAGATTTTGAACCAACCTCAAGAGTTTCAGCAACTTTTGTGAAGGATAACCATTGGTTTTCCACAACTCAAACTCTGCTGAGTTGTAATTATCATTAGATGACCAGTGTCCTTCTGGTTTGCAATCACTTCTAGAGATGGTATATTGGTCTGTCGCATAAAGGTGCTCCTCAAAAAAGCTAGAATATGCTGAAACAAAATCATATAAGCTACAGGTGCAGCGCTCGAGAGAAAGGTAGACAAAATCTTGATCATACTCCACTCCATACCACCGTACAATGTTTGGGTGCTGATCAGATGCAATAAGATTCTGAATCTCTTTCAGTGCTATATCATGATGGGCCTTTACTAGACGTTTAACAGCAACCGGACGACCATCATATATACCCTCTAGTATGACTGTGCCGTTGCTTCCCTTGGCAATTTCTTTTTGAGAGAGAAACAACTTACCTATCTTGCGCCCATCTACCACTCCACTGTGCCTATCGAATAAGTTAACCTGCATCTCGTGTATAATGTTTTCCATATCTGGAAATCCGTGTCCGAGAGAAGTCTCATGATTAAAACCCATTTTCTTTATCTTCTCGGTATTTGTAAATCTCTGGCTAATTCCAGACTTCCGTAGTTTCTTCTTTTTTGTTGTCGTAACTTCAACTTTTTTATCCACAACTTCACTTCGCAATTTATTCCAATTTATTACCCAAGAAGCCATATAGAAAATAATAGCCACAATGAGCAGTACAATAGTTCCAAATATAACAAAAGACCATAAATAAGACCCGGTTAAAAAATTAGATTCAATGACCACTTGATTATTATCTCCTGCAGGCAGTCCCATGATTGCAAATCCATCGGTCGAAGGAGCAGGCAAAGCGCGAAACACTTTACCTTTTTTGTTCTGATGTAATCTGAAAATTTTGTCAACCGCTATTACAGGATAATTATGATCTGCAGCAGGTAAAGAAAGATATGTGCCTCCAGGAAGAGTATTTTGTGACCTAACAGTCATAAAAAATGATTCTAATGAACTGCGATCACGAATTCTGTAGACAAATGGCTTGGTCTGACAACCTTCCTTATCTGGAGCAAACTCTTGTCCTTGACTAGAAAGTCCCCCGAGAAACTTCTCAGTTTGTTCGCAATGCAATGACGCTTCAAAATCAGCAACATGTAGATTCCATAAAACCTTCCCTGTCTTTGTAGATGTGTACTTAAGAGCATAATCAGTTCTAATAATGTACAGTGGACTGTCAATCACACCATTGTCTGTTTCACTAGATGCTTTCCAATCTTCAAGGTCATTCCTTACCATAATTGGATTTCCAACAGCTTCCTCATCCCCAAGCATATCTGATCCGTACATATGAATCACTCTACCAGTTTTATGATTAACATGAAATGCAGTGGTCCTTTTCGACCCTAGCATGATTCCACCATCTAAGACATATGGAGTTTGTTTTATAAATTCTTCAATACTCTGTGAGATCTCCTGAAATGTGAAAGAATATGACAGATGCAATACAGTAAAGTGAAAATTTCAATTTTTATGTGGTCATGTGCTTGATTATCAAATCCTTTAGCAATGCTTATATGGTGAATCACTCTAAATGTAGTTTAAGTCTTATTATCAAAACGTAAGACCCAAGGACACTGTAAAATAATATAGAAACCTCCTAATAAACCTATTAGCAAGATGAGTGCTTTAGCCCTAGCATTTTCAATTATGAGATCAAATCATGAAACAGAATATAGATACTTGAAGAAATGAAATGAAATGAAATGAAATGAAATGAAATGAAATAACTCTTGTTTCCATCCACATACTACTCAACCAACACACACACATATTGAGAGAGAGAGAGAGTGTCTTGTTATTCTATTGCTATTCAACTAAACCTCTTGGAACCAACTAACCCAAGCTAACAATAACCAATATTCCAATGCAAACTAACCCCAGCTAAGTTTCTATATTTCTCAACAAAAACCACTCAACATACCACTCTGTCAAAGTCATCCCCATGCAGATAAAGTTTCCAATCTTCTCCGCAATCTAAATAAAAGATCTCTCCCTCAGTTGACACATTACGGTCATTGGCATGGTTATCAGGCAGAGATTGAAATGAAGTGTAGATGGATGGACCCGATGTAAATGACCAAAGAATTTTTCCTGAACTCAGCTCTACAAGATGTATCATACCATCAGGAGCTGCCACAATTGCAGTATCATCTTTACTGGTTCAAGACAGTTAAACCAACAGATCAAAAAATATACAGGTCAATTTCTGTGGAACTGACAAGAATGGTGATTTTAACAAGCTAAAAAAAGTACAGCAGAAGATCAAATATGGTTACAAAAATGAACAATTTTAAATAAGAGATCTGGTGAGGCATCAGTTCCAGAATGTCATTATGCAACTAGGTGATCTAATAATTTTATGCAACATGATAAATGAACTTACAAAAATCGTAAATCGTACGTTACTATAATTGTGTCATTTTTTTTATTAACTAGGAAACGAAACGTTTCTGGATAACAAAGCTAATGAACTTCTGAGTTATTGGATGTCAAATATGTCGTTAGATTACTACTACTACTCCTTTGATTGAACGCGCAAGACTTACGGGGTGAGAGATAGCGGGGAATTGGGGGGCGGATATTCTGAGCTGCTGCTGAGCTCTGCTTCCAAATCGGGTCCCTCGTAATCAGGAGGAGCTCCGAATGTGAGCGCTAAGCATAGGATCAATATGAACAGACGGTATACGAGAGAGCCTTTCATTTCAGAGATACTTGCGCAGAGCCTTGTCGGCTTACCACCATATGGAAGTATCCAAAATAACGTTAGCAATGGGGTAATAGACGTGAACTGATTTGGCTTTTATGATTCCACGGAGAAAGACGGCTGAATCATGTCCTGGCGTGCGGCGTCGCTGACCGCCTGAGCTGCCGTCTTACCCCCGCGTTGTTGCGGATTAGCAGTTTCCGGGAATGCGAATTGGCTTATTTTCTCTTTATTTTCTCTTTATTTTCTCTTTAGTGTACATCAATTGTTTGTACGGGATGTGATGTCAAAATCTTCTTAATTGTGTGTATACATAGTCATCTACACATTACACATTTTGTGTAAGCCAATAATGACCCTTAAGAAAACGTGATTAGTAGTTGAAAGAAAATTATTCCAATTTTTGTACGTTTTTTCAGAATATGATTTATAGTTTTTTCCTAATATGATGTCACATAATATAACATGTATTGACATCATTGAGAGTTTTTGTTTTTTATTTCACTTCATAATTGATACGTAGTAATTGCCTAGTCAAATATTATGAAGGAATATGCATAATAATACATAGAGAATTGTCACAAGTTTTGGTTCGAGAAAATTATAACTTATCCTTGTCCATGATTTAAGGTTGTTTTAAATTGGATTGAAAATTTCTGATCTGGATTGATTTAATTTGATTTATATTTTATGACTGCCAAAGTTTGGTCTCATGTGGTCTAATTTGTTTAAGTTTGGTTTAGTCTCATCTTGTTGAATCTAGGGATGTATTGCATATGGTTTGTTTATAACTTTTTAAATCTGCAGACTTTTAAAAAGGTTCATAGACTTTTAAATTCATCGACTTTTTTATTAATGAATTCGATTGATTTGTATAAATATATGGATTTCATATGAATTGTGTTTATTTTATGGAAAACCCAAGTTTAATAAGAGAGTAGTATTCAAAAGTCTAAACATACAAAAACCATGAAATGATATAAGAAAGCACATATGGCAAATAGTATACACACATGAAAATTCACAAGTTTACTATAAAAACAAGCAGTCATGGTCAGATATTCAATATGATGTGTTTTGTTGAAATATGAGCTTATTAGGAAAGAGGAAAAGATTCATATTTTGGGAAGCACATGAACTTTTAGTAATACACAGGTGATTTTCTATATAGTATATTATTCTAAAATCATCTCGGTCCAAATTACGAGGCTTCATAAAGTGCGTTTTATGATATAAATATATTCATACGATTTTGGGCCACCGAAGAAGATAGATGCATGCTTATACAAGTGACAATTGCATATATGATTGAGGAGACAACTCATGTTCTACTATGACTGTGCCTATTTAAGGATTACATTGTTTCAAAAGGAGGAGATAGTAGACAATTTACAAGGGGATACATTATGCATGCTCTCTTTACTCCTCTTACATAGGCCGAGGCACAGTTTCTTCCTCCTGAATGGTATATACATCACTAGAAGAATGGTCTATAATGATATCTTCCATTAACGGTGTCCATAAGCTTCTTATATGTACATGCAATCTCTCTCACATGATATATAAAAGGCTTGGTTTCCGTTGGCCTAATATGTAACACCGTTCCCAAATGTATTTACTTTTAAGTGAATATTGTATTGAACCTTATGAAATGGTTAATAAATATACGAAGTTGTGAAATTTTATTATTTTCATTCGCGTGAATAATAAATTGCGTGCGGGGCCCACACCGGGGGCGGGGGTCCGCCCGATATTCCCGGGACCATATATCTTATTCATCTTGGTCTAAATAATATTTATATGGTGGTGGATACCTCATTTGAGCAATGGAAAGGCCCAAAGTTGACCGATTGGTCAAAAGAGGCCCAAATAGCGGTATTGGTAATTTAACCGATAAAAGCCCGAAATTGGATTTCGGAGACCTATAAATTAAATTTGAGAGATGTATATTCATTATAAGGGTCATAATGATTAATAACACATAATATATTTTATTTGGCCCGATAAAATAAAATATATTTAAAACAGTCCGAAAAATACAACTTTCGGGACCGATTGTACACTTTGGGACAAATTGGGATGACCTCCCACAGGGGTGGGGGCCACCCCACGAAATTGTCAACCAACAAAGGTTGATTGAGCCCAAAAGTGGGCTGGAGACTATTGAAGAGATGGGGGAGACACCTTTGACATCAAAAGGGGCCCTCTCACCCCATAATTTCCCAAAGAAAACAAAAAGAAACACACCCCCTCTTTCCTCACTCAATCACTTCGGCCAGCACCAGGGAAGAGGGGAGAAAGAGCTATGAAAACTCATCCTCCATAGCCAAGAACCGAGCTCAAGAAGGAGTAGCCCAAAGAAGGTGTTTTGAGAAGGAAAAAGCTAGGAGAAAGTGAGAAAAGTGAGGTAATGGCCTTATCATAGTTTCTCCTTTATTTTTTCTTCTACCATATGAGATATATATCATATGAAGAACCTTGAGGATTGTTCTACATGACTTAAGTGTAGAATGATGGGTTGGGAGGTGGTTCTAAGGCCAAAAAAACGGACTTAGGAGCCAAACCGACAAGTTCACCGGAAAATAACCTTTTAGAGGTTATTTGTATTGATTAAGGTTTCATGATGTTTAAACCTTGTTAGGAACTTGATTAAAGCATTTTTGAACTTCGCCGGAGTTTCGCCGGAGTTGGTCAAAGTTCGCCGGAGTTGGTCAAAGTTCGCCGGAATTAGTCAAAGTTCAATCGGGAAGTGTAGAACGCGCTTAAGCTCACTTAAGGTGAGGATGACCGACTATATTGCTTATAATTATTGGGTTAATTTCATAAGATTACCTAAATGAATTAAATGTGTATGGAATGGCTTAATAATGATTAGAAATGCCTAAATGAGATAATTATTGTTATGAGTAAAATGCATAATATACAAATTTATGAATAAAATGTGTATGATTATGTGTTATGAATACAATGGCATGATAGTTGTATAAACCATGAACTTCATTGTAATAAATATACTTTTTACCTCATGTAAAGAAGTCATGAGAGGAAAAAGTGATATGTGACATTAGAGCCAAATTATACTTGAATGTAGAAGTAAATTGAAATATATGAGCTATTGTGAATTAGTGTTGGGTATATTGGGATTAAATGTCTAGTATAGAGTTACTAGTCAGAAATGTGGACTTTGTGATTAAACCTTAAAGGATATCTTTAAGGTGGATTTTATGAATTCAAGTTACATTAGGAGTAGGCCTTAAGGGTTACTCAAAATGGATGGGGCCTAGACTAAGAAATTGTTTAGGATTAGATGACGTGACTATGAGCCGAGAGCTCTAGCACGTGGTAGTATGACTATGAGCCGAGCTCTAGCAAGGGTAGTATGACTATGAGCCGAGCTCTAGCAAATATAGTATGACTATGAGCTGAGCTCTAGCAAAATTAGTATGACTATGAGCCGAGCTCTAGCAAAACGTAGTGTGACTATGAGCCGAGCTCTAGCACAAATTAGTATGACTATGAGCCGAGCTCTAGCATGAAGGAACGTGAGTTGATTATAAAATAATAACATCCTAGATTGAGGGTCTTGGAAATTGAAACTTTGATTATACTTAGTATAGTTGTCATTGTACTTGGCAAATGCTTCCAAGTACTGACCTCCCCTTCACGGGGGAGGCCACCTCACAGTTTCAGGTAGGAGCTGAGCTTGCTACCAGTGCCCGTTGCTCCAGGAGTATTCGGGGAAGGAAGACGTGGTTCGTGCTTCCTCCGTTTCTGTTTTAAAAACATTTAAATAAATGCTCATGGATATTATATTTTCGAATAATCATTTGGGGCTTGTATGCCCATGTTTGCCAAAGTGTGGCACGAACACTTGTATTGAATGTTTCCGCTGCTTTGAATGAATATTTTACATTATGTTTGTTTATGGATGTACTATGTGTGAATGATATTCCAGACGCCTTGTATAGTATGAATGTGTTGGACTGCGGTTGACTATTCGTACCGTACGGCGGATTGTTGACGTGTCCGGATAGGTCCGGGGTGTGACATAATACCGCCCAAAAGGGTGTGATTTTTACTTATTCATTTTTTAGGATAAAAATATTGTCTTTCTTACTCTCTTTCACTATAAAAAAACACGGGATTGACAGAGATTTTAGCATGGATTAGGTCAAATCTGTGCCAAAAACACTTGACACGAGCTATTTGGCACGAAAAATCGATAATCCGTGCCAAAATTCCGTGCCAATCCCGTGTTTTTTTTGTAGTGTTTGTCTTATCCGAGAGATCATGCATCAATCACAATTTGAAATAATACAATAATATGCTCTTGTTTGTCTCTCTAGCTATCTACTCTACTTATTAGTCTTAGAATTCCACATAGATTCCACTTCAGGATGGTGACGTACTGTTTTGGACTAACAAGCTCAAAACTGTTGTCAATTCTAATGAAAGTTGTTTAAAATGTATGTTGTTATAGTTTACAATAATACTGCACCGTAATTGTTACACACTTACACGTCATAATTGATGATCACTTTTCATCGTATTATTGCTGCGGTGCTGCCTATGAATGAAGTGTCATCAAGATATGTTAAGACCGGTGAATTATGAATAACACTCGTAGCTTTTACTGAAGAAAGCCAGGACAAGTATTTATAATCTTAATAGCTTATACTTTTTTTTGACAGTTAATAGCTTATACTTTAGAAAACATTCGTTGACATGTGTTATATATGATCGAGGAACACTTGCAAGCAAAAGCATATAAACATATTTTGATTCGCTATCTAAAAACGACATACACCAGGGTTATCAATATTCCGCATCTTTCAATTGTAAAGTACTCCGTATATGATTATTGGGGTGTTTGGATGTAATTCTCAAAACTGATTCTGCTCCTTCAGGAAGTAGAAGCAGAAACTGGAGTGTTTGGGTGAAATTCCAGAAGCATTTCTGGTGCTCTAATTTACTCCCAGAATCAGTTTTTTTAGAAGCTGGGGGGTACCAGCTTATGAAAACTGATTCTAATTCTGCTTCTGCTTTAAAAAAGAAGCAGAAGCAGAATCAGTTCCAAACACCCCTATAACAAGATATACAATAACTTAACCTAAGTACTAAGCATGTATTTATTTGTTAATTAGTTCAACTAAGAGAACATATATACGAGTTTCTAGGACATTACTGTATTTTAAGAGGGAAGAAGTTTTCAAAAAAAAAAAAGAGGGAAGAACAACTTTCATTTGCCACCTCATGCTATTACATAATACTTTAAATTTGAAACAATAATTAC